ACCTCCGGGCTGGTTGTGTGTTTGCTTTTCTGGACCCCACTCTGCCCTCCCAAACGAGACGAAACAAAACAAAAAGACGTCGGAGAAAAGTGCTGCGAAAAAAAACGGATGAGTTGCAATTTCCCTCGGGATGGCGCGGGTGGTGTGTGTTGGCTCCCTTGGGCCCCGGCGGGCCGTTGCGCGGAGGGGACGCCCTCGTAGCCCGCGTTCCCGCCGCGCTGGACCCGGAATGAGTGGCCGCGCCTGCGGACTGGACGTGCGGAGCCCGGGCAGGCTGGCCCCGGCCCCGTACGAACCGAGGTGCCCCCTCCAAGCTGGCCCCGGCCGAGCGTACCTTAGCTCGATTCGGATCCGAGTTGGAGCGGCGGTTGGGTCGGGGATGCCGGTGCCCAGCCTGGGATCGGGGACTCGCTGTGGAGCCGCACGCGGCCGCAGCGCGCCCGGAAGAGCCGTCGGCCGCCCAGAGCCCCGGAGTCCTCTTTTAAGGCTAAGGAGACGCAGCTGGCGGTGCGGACGTGGCAGGAGAACGGGGTGGGCTCGTCTCCGAGCACCCGGCCTCCGAGCTTCGCCGCAGGCCCAGGTCCTCCGCTCCGCTCCCGGGCTAGGAGGTGGCCCCCTTGGCCCGGCGAAGAGCCCCCTCCTCACCGCCCGCCGTGCAAGAGTCGAGCCGGGAGAGCTCGGGGCGCGGCCAGGGTCCCCGCGCCGCGCCCACTTTGCACACCCGCTCTCCGGCCCGCGCCCCTGTTTACAGCGTCCCTGTGTATGTCGGACTGACTGTATAGAATTATAAATCTGTCTATATCGACTTGTCCATGTACGTCTATTAAAACCATAGTACAAGCGTGCTAACCACTGCCGAGCCCCGACTGCTTCATTTCCACTGGGGAGGGAGGCGGGTTAGAAAGGGAACGCCGCCACCGCGGGTCCTGAGGGTTAAAGAGAGGAGCCTAGGCAGCCGCCCTTCAGTGGAGAGGGAGGTGCCCTCTCTTCCCACCGCAATTCCCGACCTGCTCTGCCCGGCTCCCGAGAGGGCGCCATTTGGCGCTCCGGGCTCCGAGTCCGCGCCCAGCAGGCGCTCACCCGCTGGGCCGCTCAGCCTCAGCGCTGTGCTCAGCCGTCCTAGCCAGCACCCCCACTTCCCCGGCTGCCGGGCTCTGCAGGCTCTTCCCAAGCTATGTCTGCGGGGACCCCCGAAGCCCTCAAGGTGCTCCGTGGCCCTTGTTCACCGGGGGAGTTGGGGTGAGGGCCACTGAGAGCCCCCTTGGTCCGGGAGTTGCCATTCCTCCTGTGGGCCCAGTACTCCCACCTTGGAGCCCTGCCCTAACTGCTCCAGGCGGACTGAGGGTGCAGGATCAGCCGGTGTCTAGCCAGGGCCTCCCTCAGCCTTTCCCTCCTGAAATGACACTCAGGGGCATCCGGCAAAGCTGTGCTGGAGAAAGTGACCATCACACAGAATTAACTTCTCACTTCCCTTCCACCCCGACTTATTGGAAGGAGGCTGCGGGCACTTCCACCCTCCCGAGGCTTTGGAAACTACTGAACAAGACCAGCCTGTAAACTGCCTGTAAAATTCTGCTTCTCTTAAGTAAGTCACTTCCAATGGCAAAACAAAATGTTTGCAGCTGCAGCGGGGGAGGAAGGAGGGGTTGGTATTCTGCTTTAGAATCACCTTGTGACTAGGATTGGTGCTGCCCTGGAGCTGGACCCAGGCAAGCCCTAGATGGGAGTGGGGCACAGCCACGGGCTTGATCGTGAGCTAATAGCTGGAGAGCCCTGTGCACACATTCACAAACCAGATCAGCCCTGCCTCTGAGGTCAGGAGTGTTGTCCCTATTATACAGATGATGGAACCGAGACTTCATCATGTCATGCAACTGGGCCAAGATCACAGAGAGTCAACAGTCTTTAGGTTCCAAAGTATCTTTCCTCTGGTCTTCCCACATTAAGATGAGGAATGGAGGATGGCCCAGGATGATGCTGTAGGATTTGCATTGTGGGGTTCTGAGAAGGACAGGGCCAGATACACAGGCTAGAGGAGGGAGGTGGGTGGAGGGAAGGCTGGGGCAGGGGGCTGGAGCCAGACCACCCCTCCCCCAACGGCTCCAGTCCAGAGCTCTGACCCCTCATTCTCTGGAAACATAAACATAATCACATCTGGACTCAGAGTGCCTCCCCCAGCCTCACACATCTGCCAAGGCCAGGGGGCCCTGGTCTCTCTTGAGGGCAGAAGGCAGGAGAGACCTAGGAGATGGGACTGGAGGAAAAAGGGAGGCAGAGAGGCCTCTCCTGGAGGTCAGGCCCCGCCTCAGGTGACTCGGCCACCAACGAGGGGCTCTGGTAGAGACTCAGTGTGGCTTTGGGGCCACAGACCAAACAGCTGCAGATGGGCGGCAGGGCAGAAGCAATCCCAGAATGACCTCATCATCCAGCAAGAACCATGGCCAACAAGGTGAGTGTAAGACCCTGGGTCGGGCTCCCCCCAGCTCTCCTGTGGCTGCAGATAGTAGCCAGCCCTTCCCAGCTGCACCAGCTACAGAATCATCTCTGAAGGGAGGCTGAGAAATATATGGGGTTCTGGAAGCCCAATCCTCTGCAAAAAAAAAAAAAAAAGAAGAAGGTCCTAGTCCTGCTCTGCCTAAAGAAGATTGGGGAGGGGGTATCATTCATTGATGCAACATTTACTGTGCTCCCGCTCTCGGTGCTAGGGATCGAGTGCTGGAAAACAGACAGTCCCTGCTCTCATGGACAAGTAAACAAAAATGTGTATAATTACAAACTGAGCTGAGTGCTTTTGAAGAAAGAGAACAGGGTGCTGTGAATAAGAAAAAAAAAAAATGAGAGTCCTGCTTTTAACAGGATGCTCTGTCTGGCAAGGCTGCTCTGGAGAGGTGGCTCTGTCTCTGTCTTAATGGGTAAGCGCTACCATTTATTGAGCCCGTTTGGGGTCCAGGGCCCAGGGCTAAGTGTACACTCCTCGCTGATTGGCCCCTTTACCTGCACAACAACCCTATGAGGAAGAGTTCTCATTATCCCATTTCTCTGATGAAGTCCCTGAGGTCAGGTCATTTGCCCAAGGTCCAGAGCAGGAGTGATGGAGTAGATCCAAGCCCAGTCAGCGCCCACTCTACCTTCTGCATTGGACTACCTCATGCCAAGCACCGTGGGCAACATGGTGGGCAGAAGGCAGAGTTTGACCTTGAAGAGATAAGTGATTTCTACTGGCCACACAGGACTAATCCCAGGAAACAGAAAAGCAGATTTGGTCTCACTTGGTCCTGAAAGCCCCAAAGGGCAGCTGCAGGTTTAGAGAGGTTATGAATTAGAAACAGGAGGCAAGAGGCTGGTGCCCAGCACTTGTCTGCAGACACCCTGGGCCACCAAAGCCAAGTGCACAACCTCCAGAGTGCCTGGTCATTGAGGAACCGAGTTACCTCCCCTAGCTTTATGGCCCCAGCCAGGCTGCAGGCCTCCACCTGAGCCACGGCATCCCTGAGTGCAGCTGGCAGAGTCATCTAGAAGGGTGAAGAAGTCACAGCTGGAAGGTCTGCCTCGAAGGGGGCACTTCCCAGGGAGTCCAAGCTCTGGAGGTGGCTCTGTGTTGTCCTTCGGCTCCACATGCCTGAGTCTGTTGCTCTCCTGTGAGATTGCAGCAGATAGCAGCAGGCCTCAATCACAGGAGAGCCAGCGTGGGAAATGAGAGGAAGGGTGGTTTATGCCCATGAACTCCCCATCTCCTGGGCCAGTTTCTTGGCTCTGGCATCCATAGGAAGCTTCAGTGTGGTCTTTGAGAGCAAGGGTTTGAGTTCTGGCTCCACTACTGAGTTGCCTTGGACAAGAGACAATTAACGTCTGTGAGCCTGTTTCCTCTTCCATAAAAGGGAATAACAATCACTTCACACAGTTGTTTAAAGGATTAAAGAAGATAACACATAAAGCATTGGTTGTGGTGCTGGCATATAGTTATTACTGATGGTGTTGGTGATGTTGTTGTTAAAATGACACATCTGGCCTCTCCCCTTGAGGGCCCTGTTCCCCACTTTCCACATTAATAACGCTTCTCTAAGTTTCTCAACAGGTCATTTCTGAAAGTGTCGTTTGGGGCCCAACTTGGTTTTCCCTCCAGGTTTGCTGGGTGTTGTGAATGTGATTCATGACTGACTGTCCTGCTGAATGTCTTCCCCACTGCATCCCACCCTGGGACCCATCCTGGACTTGGACCCTCAGGAACCCAGCCCGCTGTCCTATGGCCAGGCCCTGGGAGGCCCAGAGGAACTGTGTCCAATCCCTGCCATCCACTGGTCCTGAGGAGAGGCACGTTGGCAGTCAGTACTCTGAGACACGAGCCGGGGGAGCAGAAGGGCCAGTCATCCCAGAATTCTCCTCTAAGGTCTCCCTGCATCATGGGATAAAGAGGCCCGGACACTTCTTTTTGTGTTCTGCTATCTTACCGCTAACGTCAGGCCCTTACAGAGTGCCAGGCCCCATGATGCATTTTATAACAATTACAGTGCTCCCTCCTCACAGGCAGGAAGGGCACCCTGTCCTTACGCTGTTCGACCCTGAGCTCAGAGGGAATCAATAGCTCACCTGCGAT